CAGGCAGAAGGCAGTGGTGACCACGCACTTGCCCTGCGCCCACACACACTCCCACTTGTCTCACAGCCCCAGGAATGCAGCTGGCAGTGCTCCGTGCACAGCTGTGGGGCCACAACCACCCTGGCTTCCTCCCAGCCCTCGGCAGCTCTGCCCTGGCTCATAAATCCTGTGAGCACACAGAGCCACTGTGTGCTGCCCGCCTGCCCCCAGCCCCATGCAGTGCAGGGATGGGGCATGGCCCATATGGGGACTCCTTTGCATGAGGATGGCATCATGCATGGGGACATGGCGACCTCTTGGCAGTGCTGCTCCCCACACTTCATTGAGCAGTTCTGTGAGGATGGCAGTGTGCTCACCTCATGCTGTGGGCAATTTGGGGCAGTGTCCCACGGCCTGTGATGCCCATGGGGCAGAGGCAGTGCTGGGGTGCCTAGATTCAGTGTGGGAAACATCCTCCCAATGCTGACACATGCACACCTGCTGTCTCCCAGGAAAGGTTATCGGCGCTTCCCCACCACGTCCCAAATGTCACCATTGTCCTCAGTGGGGCAGTGAGCTCATTCTCCCCCTGCCATTAATTAAAGCCCCCCCCAGCACTGTGAGAAGCAGCTGCCAAGGCTGGCACTGCCGTGCTCCCTTTGATGCAGAGACACTGACAGTCCCTATGAGGAGGGGGCACAGGTCTCCTCCTGCTGTATGAGCACTGGGCCCACTCTGGGGCAGGGTTGCTGAGGGGGTGACAAACATGGGCTGTGTGGGGCTGACCCCAGGGCAAGGGTTTTTTGCTGCTATTGGAGCAAGAGCAGCATTAGGGTAGTGGAACTGGGGCATGATTGTGGGGCGACTCACCTAGGTGTAGGGAATAATGGGAATAAAGGCAGCTCCTGCCACAACCATGTGAGCAGTGCCTCTGCTGCCAGGGAACCTAAAAATAGTCCCCCAGGCTCAGCAGATGGAGAAGGGCCATCTGGTTACAGCTGAGAAGCCCACGATGGGGAGTCTGGCAGGGGATCTGGCAGGGCCTGGGGGTGCTGGGGGCAGAGCAGTGGGGCCAGGGGCTGTGTGGGGGTGGGAAGCCCACAAGAAAGGCCCAGCATGGAGCCCCAAGGGGACATCCAGTGTCACAGCTCCAGGGGACAGCCACCAACCATGGCCCTTTCCCACCCAACCCAGCTCCCACAGGGGGAACACAGGTGGGCACAGCCCAGGGGATGCACATGGGGGTGTGAGGGAGAGCTGTGCTTCCCCTGCCGCTCTCGGCCCCTCTCCACCACTTGGGAGAGTGAACCTCATCTCTCCACAGGCGAGACATTGCCATGGCAACTGGCACGGCCACTGCCAGGCAGGAGGTGAGCGGTGACGTGGTGTGACATTCAGTGTGAGAGAGGGACATGGGTGTGGGGGCATCTTGGGACGCACCTGGGTATGCATGTATGCCTGCAGAGATGCACATATCCCCAGGTGTGGATATCTGCAACCCCAGATGTAGATCTGTGCATCCCCAGACATGTGTGCACAGTGCTGAGGCTCTGCACCCACTGCTTGTTGCTTTTTTTGCCGGTGTCCCTACAGGTGCAGAGGAAGGGCTCGCTGCCCTTCCACCCTGCATGGGCCCTGTGCCACCACACGTCAACCCCTCCCCTGCTGTGCCCTCCTCCTCTAGGGAGAACGTCTGTTTTCTCCCCGTTTGCCATTTCTCTGCCTCTAATTGAGCTGTCAATGGGCAGAGATTACAGAGAGTCTGTTAGCGCTCCTCTCTGATGTCTGCCTGCGCTGTGCTCGCGGCACCCGCTCTGCAGCTGCAAATTCTGCAAGAGCAGCACTGCCACGTACCCGGGCAGGGCGGGCTGCCAGCCCCACGACCAGCCCCAGCCAGTACCCCCGTGTCTTTCCCATGGGGTGCAGCCCCCCATCACCCCCGTGCCTTCCATGCCGCAGCACCCCCGGGCAGCCACTTCCCAGCTACACCCCCACAGCCGCCCCCGATCGGTCCGGCTCCCCCCGGGCTCGGTGCAGGCAGCAGCGGGCGCCCATCCCCGGGGCCGGGAGGCTGCGCACACGTTGCGGCCGGGCCCGCCTCCGCCTCCGCCGCGCGGCTCAGCAGCACCGCGGACAGCGCCGGTGCCGCCCGCTCGGTTCTGCCCGGCTCGGTTCGGCTCGGCCCGGCCCCGCCGCCGGCTCCGGTTCCCCCTCGCGGCCCGACCCAGCGCAGCACGGCCCGGCCCGGGGCGCACGGAGCGCCATGGCCACGGAGGTGGGTGCGCGGGTGACCGGGGCTGTGCGGGGTGGGGCTGGAGCCTTGCGGGTTCCACACTCACAGAAGGGCCCTTCTGCATTCAAGGTGCCCGCGGTGGGGCTGGAGGGGCGTGGGGTTGGGGTTGGCGTGGGGCGTCCTTGATGGAGAGGTCCATGTGGGGCTGCAGTATGAGGGGTCTGACTCCCTCCCTTTGTCCCCTCCATCCTCCTCTCCATCCCGGCTCTGTTCCAACACCTGGAGGCTGGAGTGGGTCCTGGCGCCTTGTAGGGTGCCAGGGTTATGCCATCCCAGCCCTTCTAGCTGCACAGCTGCTGCAGCCCTACAGAAGCAGTCCCTTGTTCCCCTCCTCCTGACAGCATCCTGCTGAGGACTGAGGACCATCCCTGTGCCACCGTTAGGCCTCGTCCCACCGTGGACACGAGGCCACGCCAGGGTCTGTGGGAATGGCACCCACAGTGGGATGCATGGCGACCTTCCCCTCCCCCACCCTCAGGCTGTATCCCCCCAGCTCACCCCACTGCAATCCCCCAGGTACACAGCCTGCAGGAGCTGCGGCGCAGCGCATCCCTGGCCACCAAGGTCTTTGTGCAGCGGGACTACAGCGATGGGACCACGTGCCAGTTCCAGACTAAGTTCCCCCCAGAGCTGGAGAGCCGGGTAGGATGCCTGGCAGTGTGCATGGGGGTGCCCTATATTCAGAGTCCTATGGGGTTTGTCTAAACAAAAGGGAGAGGGTATGGGGGGCTGTGTGGCCCTGAGCCAGCTCTGGATTGCTGCCCTGGGCAGAGTATGTACCATCTCTCCTGGAGACTGGGGGATCTGATGGAGGCACAGAGCTCTTGGTGTAGATGGGCAATGGGCAGGGAGCAGCTGAGAAGGAAGGAGAGGATTAGGTGGTCCCCAGGGCATCTCAGGGATGGGGATAGCTGCTGGCCAAGCATCTCTTCATGGCAGCTTCTGCCCCAGATTGAGCGTCAGCTATTTGAGGAGACCGTGAAAACTCTCAATGGGTTCTATGCTGAAGCGGAGAAGATTGGGGGCAGCTCATACCTGGAGGGGTGCCTGGCCTGTGCCACTGCCTACTTCATCTTCCTCTGCATGGAGACACACTACGAGAAGGTGCTGATGCCCTGGGGAGGGCAAAGGAAGTGGGAGGGGTGGGGGGGGGGGGGGAACCAGGGCCAGAGGGTGCTCAGTGCCCCCCTTGCACTCACAGGTCCTGAAGAAGATCTCCAAGTATATCCAGGAGCAGAATGAGAAGGTCTATGCACCACGGGGGCTGCTGCTCACTGACCCCCTGGAGCGTGGCATGAGAGTTGTATCCTCTGGGATAAGGGGGGATGAGGGTGAGGGGTGGGGGGACATCGGCAGCGAGGCTATGGCTGATGCATCCCACGGCTGCTCCTTAGCAGTGCTCAGATCGAGATCTCCATCTACGAGGACCGGTGCAGCAGTGGCAGCTCCAGCAGTGGCAGCTCCAGCAGCAGCAGCAGTGGTGGGGGGGGGCGGTGACTGGCAGGGGGAGGTCCCTGCAGGGACGCGTACTGCCGGGACAGCCGCCTCTCTGAGATCCGCAGGCTGCACTACCAGAGCACCCGCTTCTGAGACCAGAGTGGGTGGGAGGGGGCATGGGGGCCAGGTGTCCTCTGTGCCATGTGCCCCCTGCGGTGGCTCTGCCCCTGCCCAGACCCACTGCAGGCAGGGGCCACTGCTGGGGTGTCCCAGGTGCTTACCACAGAACCAAACCAGTGCCAAAGGGCTCCGCAGCCTCCCCTCACCTCCAGTGAAAGAGCTCGCCCTGCAGTGCTCCAGCAGAGCTGAAGCCAGGGGGACATGGCCTCGTGCCCCTGTATTACTTCATCTGCATGATGGTGCTGTGCGTTCACCCTGTGTGCTGCCCCAAAGGTTCTGGCTGCATCCTGTTCCCTGCCATCCCCAGCCAGCTCCCTGTGCCAGGGCAGGGGGCACAAATCCTTCTGCCCACACATCCCGCATGCATCCTCACCCTCCCTGCAGCATACAGTACCCCTGTGGTGCTGGGGGCCTGCAGGGGGTGTGTCTCCTGCTTGCATCCTGCCCATCACCCCAAAGGTGCCAGCCTTGCAGATCTACCCTGATGCAGCACCCCTGGCTGCAGCACCCACACTTGCAACCTGTGGTGGGGGACCCCCGAGGGGGAAAGAGACAAGAGGTGGGTGCCTGTAACATCCAGTACCTGGGAGCGAGCTCCAGGGCCATAGAGGGAGGAGGACCCGTCTCCACAGGAGGGTGGTGAGGCTCTGGTGCACCCTGTGGGGCACCCTGCATGGAAACTGATGGAGACCTTCAATAAACCTCATGCTTCGCCCTGCTAGCTACCCTGCCTCCTCTTGCATCGGGGCTACACTGGGGCTGGGCACCACAATGGTGCCATAGGACTGGCCCCATATGGAGATTGGGCGTGGGGCAATAAGTGGGAGGCATAGTGCAGTGCACGCCCTGTGGGACATGCAGAGAAAGCAGGACAGGGATTGGTTTACTCACACGGCACGGCTGGCACAGAGGCTGTACCTGGGGGGAACGGAGGAGCGGGGGTGGGAGGGAAATCTAGGGCAAAATATTGGCTCCCACCCTGCTGGAAGCCTGAGCTCAGCCCAGCCGGCAAATAGACAGTGTATAGTTTATTAGGAGGGTTCTCCAGGAGATGGGCTGGAAGATTGAGCAGGGTCCAACTCCAAACAGCAGGGTCAAGAAGTTAAAAAACAAACTGAGGGGACTTTCCCCTGATAGGCTGGGGGGAGCCTCCTCTGCTGGGGTTGCCTCCCCCCGAGCAGAGGGGACTTGAAAAGCACACGTGGCTCAGGCCAAACCAGCAGGCACATGGCACGGGATCGAGGCGACGGAGCCAGCGATGCGGGGGGAGTGCTGGGGCTTCAGTCCTGGGCTGCAGTGTGGGGACGATGCTGTGGTCCCTTGCCCATCCAGGGCAGTTCCACATGGGGAGAGAGAAAAAGAGACAGACAGAGGCTGGCTGCTCCTTCGCCAAGGCTGCTTGGGTGTTACAGGCAGGGTTAAAGTGCATAGAGGCAAAGGCAGAGTCCGAAGCCCAGAGAGAGGAGAATGCGTTGGGGGGCCCAGGGCCAGCTCCCGGTGGAGGGGTATCCCCCAAAAAAGGCCACCTGAGCTGCACGGAGAATGAGAAAAGGAGCAGGAAAGAAAGAGAGTTGGGTGATCAGCAGCAAGTGGGTGGCACGGGACCAGCAGACACGGAGGCACGTAGCTGTGGGGCTGGGGCATAGGCAACCACTGGAGGGTGCAGGGGTGGCTGTGCCTGGGTGGGTACATCACCATCCCAAGGTGCTGCTCCAGTGTATCACCACCATCACTCACCCACACATGCTGTGCCATCCTCATTGGGCTCGAAGCCACGAGCACAGCGCTTGTTGCTGCGGCAGCGGTACCCGCCATAGGTGTTGATGCAGATGGGCTTCTCCCGGGGGCAGACAAAGGGGAACTCAGCACACTCGTTGGTGTCTGTGGACAGAGGGGATAGGGGGTGATGTGGCCAGGCTGGGAACTGCCAGTGGTGTGCCCTGGCTCCCACTGTGCGTAAGCGTGGATGTGGCCATTTGCAAGCGGTGTGCTGCCACAGCTGAACACTACCATGTCCCCATTTCTGCTGCATCACTTGTATCAGCCATGCACCCCCTGCCCCCTCAGAGCCCATGCTCCCAGAGCACATGCCCAACAGCCATACTCTGGGTTTCAGCCATGCCTGTGTCTGCACTCACCTACGCAGCGTCCGTTCTCGTGCTGGGAGAATCCCTGCCCGCACTGCGTTTGGGGAGAAGCAGACACTGGGATGGGGCAGCCCCAAGGCAGCAGAGCTCAGCCCCGCATTCCTGTCCCTTAATCACTCCCCGTGGGTCCTCACCTCCAGCAGGGTGGGCATCGGTGGTTTCTCTGTGTCTCGTGGATAGGGGACCTCCAGGACAGAGTTGGTCTCACTGCTGGCCACCGCTCGCACCAGAACACGGCCGTCGGGCCACGTCACCTCCAGGCTGCTGGCTTCGTCACGTCCTGTGGGCAGGCAGCCTGTCACTGGGTGCAGGGGGGGGCTGGCAGCATCTTGCCCTCACCCCGGGCCTCACCCAGTCCAAAGTGTGCCACGGGCTCCATTTCACACAGGTACCCTGAGCCGCCATCAATGATGCGCAGGTGGGCACCGCTGCGTCGTGTGAACAGCACCACCTTGGCTCCTCGTGCAAAGGCCCCAAAGCGGGTGCGTGGCACAACCCGCAGCCAGTTGTTGCCAGCACCCTGCAGCAGAGGGGAGGAAGGCTGAGCTGGGGGGACACAGGGACGGAGACATCTAGAGGAGCCCTTTTGCTCACCTGGGTGCTCTTGAAGATGGAGAGTGGCTGTGCCATGGACTCGCCGTGGGATAGGATCAGATCCAGCATCCCATCGCCATCAAAGTCTGTCACCGCACCCCCTGTGCACAGAGCAACAGGTCATGGGTTTGGCTCTCATGGTGATGGCAGCACCCTGGCGGTGCTGTGTCACCCCCAGCCCTGCCCTGCAGCACCCACCAGTGCCCCGTCCCTCGGGCTCCAGCGCATCCCCCGGGTTCAGCTCTTCTACAATGGGGTCTGAGTGCTCCCTGCGGATGAGCCTGTTGAGCACAGGCAGGGTGTTAGTGCCAGCCCTTGTGTCCCCATGACACCCAGCAGCTCTCCACCTTGGAGCAGCCTGGCAGAGAGATGACACCCAGAGAGGACAGGGCCGTGTGGGGTGCCTGGTGACTGGACATGCACATCTCATCCCTGCTTCATGGAGAAATGACAGAGATATCACAAGGGCATGGAGTGCAGCAGTGCCATCTCCAAACGTTGCTGCAACCCCTGGGGGCTCCCAGCTCCTCCCAAACCACCGCCTTCCACCTGCCTGCTGTGCCAACATGGCAAGGGGGTGCCGCAGAGCAGTGGTGAGGAATTGATCCCTACAATTAGCTGCAGCAGGGAACAAGCTTCCACACAGCTGTGATCAGCAGCATGGGGACCCCAGGGGCTGCTGCAGGCACAGCTGCAGGGCTGGTAATGACATAGCGAAGGGCTCAGGCATGGCTCCTTGATGAGCAGAGTCAGAGCTCTGGCCCCGCATGTGGCACCAACGGAGAAGAGCACGGTGAGGGCTGCTTGGCTCCCGCTGTGGGGCATGGCCCCCCAGCCCTACCGGAACAGGCGATTAGCGGAGGAGCCGCGGTAGGCAATGTTGTTGAAGAAGACCTCCAGCTCCTGATCATTGTCAAAGTCAGCAGCGATGACAGTGCGGACGGGGGATGGCATGGAGAACTTGGGAGTGGCAATGTCCTGCATGAGAAATGGGTATGGGATGGTGATGTGAGGACACTGCTCCTCAGTTTCCATCCCCACTGGCAACCAGAGCTCACAAAACCAAACTGGGGCTCAGCACCAAAGCTGGTGATTGGGGATGTTCCAGCCCCAGCCCTCACCCGAAATTTGATGCGCCCGGGGGCCCCTGCCTGGAGGTAGAGGCGGTGCGGCCCATTCCAGTTGCCATAGACAATGTCCACACGGCCATCACGGTTGAAGTCAGCCAGTGCCACACCACGTCCATGCTGGTAGGGGTCATCCAGCCCTGCAAGCAGCAAGGGGACAGGGAGACAGGACACTCGATCCTGGGACAACTCCCCAGGACACATCCTGAAACATGGCCCCTGGTCTCCATATGGGCCTCCCCATGTTGCATCTTTGCATCTCTGCTGCCCCTCTTGTGGTCAATGGGGCCCGTCAATCCCCACGGTCCCCCAACACTGTGCTCAGCTCATTTGGTGTCATCTCCCCCTGCCCTCTACTCACCTACCACAGCTGCCACGTCCTGGTATGTCCCATCCCCACGGTTGTGGAAGAGGAAGTTGGGGCTGTTCTCATTCCCGCAGAAGATGTCAGAAGCACTGTCACTCAGGATGGGGCCTACAGCCACACCACGGCCCCCTGGGGACAGCAGCCAGTGGTAAGGTTGTCCCCTGCTTTGGGGGCTGCATGTCCCTGTATCTGTTCCAGTGTTCCCAAGACCCCCTCCTCTCCCTCCCTCCTCCTTCACTCCCTCTCATCAAGAGCTAATTGAGGCTGGCAGCTGCTTGTGTCACATCCAACCTAATCACTGCCATCGCCATGGTGACAACACTCCTAATTAGCAAGAATTTACCGCCACAGAGACGGGACACGCGGCAGTCCCCGATGGCGGCTGGCATGCACTCTGCATCCCCAGGCCCTAAGGACACTGCCAGGGAACCAGCAGGTGACAGCGGGGTCCTTCTGGGTGGGTGCCACGCACAGTGGGGTGGCCACTAGGTGGGGCAGTCAGGCAGGCAATGTGTGGCACATGTGGTGTGGGTCATGGCACAGGTCGCTAGTGCTCACGTCCTCTCCATACCTGTGTACTTGCTGACACCAGCCTGGGCGGCCACGTCCACCAGCACCACGATGCCACGGGCAGGGTCACTAGCAGCCACGTCCATCTCCAGCAGCGCATGTGGGCCCACTTTGCCGCTGGCGTAGTTGGCGATGTAGATAGAGTACCTGCCCGACCCCTGCGGCCGGCAGCACCGCCTCAGCTCCCTGTCCCTCCACCTCAGCCCGTGGGGATGGGTTTGGCCTCCATCCTCCCTGCTGTCGAGTTCCCTAACGCACATAGTCAAGAGCACCCTGCACTGGGGATGGTTGTGCTTTCCCACTGGGATGTGCCCCATCACCTCCACCGTCTCCAAGCTCAGTGCTGGTGTTCAGTTCATGCCACACTCCCTGCTGTGACAGGTGCCCCCCCGTCCCCACCGCCCCCCTTGTCCCGTGCAGCAGCTGGGTCCTGATTTAGCGATAATCATTGGGAAACAAACTGCTGGGGGAGGAGGAAGAAGAAAGAGCAGGTGACAGGGACATAAATCACCTCGACAGGCGCGTTTATCAGCCAGCGGCAACCGTGTGGACGGATGCCCGGAGCCCTGATGGCCGGGGGGGCTGCGAGCCCTGACAGCCACCAAGCGGCTGCTGGGGGCACCCCCATCCCCAGTGGAGTGGGACGGGGCCTCGGTGAGGGGCTGCCCCACACTCTGCCCGCTCACCGTGCGGTCCACACAGGCGACAGAGCGCCCGGCGAAGCGGCTGGCCACGTCACGGTTCACTTCGTCGCTCAGCAGGTCCTCCCAGCGCCCGTTGCGGAGTTTGAAGAGCTTATCCGTGTAGGTGGCCATGCCTACGGGATGTGATCAGGGGCTGCTGCAAACATCCTCCCCCTGAGCTCGCCCCAATGGGACATGACCCTTGCTCTGTCCCTGTCCCCCCAGCTGTTGCCACCGGCAGAGTTCCCATAACCCGTAAGTGCCGCTGGGAGGCACATGGAAGAATCAACTCATTAAGTTAAAATGCGTCCCAATGGGGCACTGCCAGTGGAGACAAAAATCAATGCAGTGCCAGGCACAGGCGGTTAGCCATGGTGCTGTGACAGTGCCAGTGGCATTGCCTGATTTAGGGATGGGCACGCAGATAGCCACTGCCAGTCCTGGTAATTGGAGAATGAAAACACATCCGCAGCAGTGGGTCTGGGCAGAGCTGGGATGGAGCAGGGACACAGGGAGCTTTGGCGATCACTCGGGGCACAGGTGTCCCCTCCCCAGGGCTGGCATGCCCAGGAGATGCGACAGCATCAGTAAGGCAGGATGAGACTCTGGCTTGGTACAGAGGCACAGTTCTGCCACCATCACAGGGGTCAGCACGCGGGGGTACGCTCACATCTTAGTGGCATGGCAGTCCCAATGATGATGGGACACTGCCATCCCCTCAGGGTGCCTTGGGGAGGGTGGCTGGGAGTGCTGACTCAGCATCTGGCTGGGCTCAGCATCCCGCCCGCGCTGCCATCAATCAATGGAGCCACTCAACTGGGAAATTAACTCCAGCCCGCACACATCCCTCACGCGCCGAAGGTCATGGGCAGCTGTGCCGGCCCCCCCCGTGCCTGGAGCTCACCAGAGAAGGCATTGTTGGTGTTGAGGAAGTAGATTTCCTCACGGCCATCCCCGTCGATGTCACACGCTGTCACACCGATAGCATTGCCTGGCCGGTCCCGCAGCGCATAGTAAGGGGAGCTGTACTCGTCCTCTGCCACGTTGACCAGCCGGCCCCGTGTCTTGTCATACTTGAGCACCAGGTTGGGGCCATTGTATCTGTAGGCATGAACAGATGGATCCTGGAGTTGGGAATGGCATGACAGCCCCTGCCCCATTCCCTCGAGCAGGTGGCCATGCACTGTGCCAAGCAGGATCTGGGCACCAGCAGCTTGAGGGGCACAGCAGAGACATGCATGGTGTGTGGTGGCTAAGGATCTTCTGCCTCCCTTTTCCAGCTGTGGGGCTGGCTGCCATGGGGAGGGCTCAGCCTGGTGTCACACGTCAGCCTGACCTGGGCACCCTGGGTAGTCTCAGGGTAGGATGGGGCAGGTTCCCTTCTTGCAGCCTTTTCCCAGGGCAGGGAAGGCAGCATGCAAGGAAAATCTGCTCAGCACACTGTGCCCCACAGGCTCCCCGCCTGTTCCTGCCCCATGCACCGTAAACAAGTTACACAATGGGCAACGTGCTGCTTACAAAACCATCCCAGCTGCTTGGCTCAGCCCTGCTGAGTGTAGTGACCTGGGCTTTGCTGGGTATCCCTGGCTGCCCAGGCTTGCTGCACTGTTGGGCAGACACCCCATGTCCGTGCCCCATTCATCAAGCACGGTGCCAGCCCATGCTGGGCTCACAGGGTGAGATACTCCCTTCCAGGTGAGGACACATGTACAAGCTTCCCTCCTGGATGAGCATGCTATGCCACTGTCTCACAGCCATGCCAGGAGCCTGTGCCACTGTCTCCACTATCCCCAGCCAGGGCAGGACCTGCCAGCAGCAGCTGCTCTGTGTCCAGCCCTGCTCGGGCGCTGGGACAGCACAGCACACGGCTCCTGCATCACTGGCTCCTGCCAGCCCTTCCAAGCCATCACACCCATACAGGGCTATAAAAAACCTCCAGCCAATTAAATGAATCTCCGGAGAGCACTGAGTCCTGTCAGCGGAGCCGAGCTGGCTCGGGCTTGAGCTGCCTCTGTACTGAGGGGTGGGACCCAGCTGTTGGGCAGCTGCCATCATCCCACAGCAAGGGGACCCGACCCTGGAGCAGTGTCCCCATGCAGATGGCATGCTGGCAGTGCCACCGCACACCTCCTCCTAGATGGAGGGATAGGAATATTAGTGATGTGCCCCAGCAGAGCAGTGAGACCAACTGCCTGCAGCTGGGAGCTCAGCTGGGCACCACGTGTGCTTTTTGGAGAAAACAGTGAGTTTGGAAAGGCTGCCAGCCGTGGAACACATGGCTGCAAGGAGCTCCTGGCACTGCAGGGCCACCATGTCTTACTGCCCCCAAGACTGTCCCTACTCACCCAGCCACCACGATCTCAAAGCTGCCATCAGCATCCAGGTCAGTGACAGCCACGCCGTAGTTGAGCTGTGTGGGGTTGCTGTCGTAGTCAGGCGGGAGCAGTTGGTGGGTGACGGCGGTGAACATGGGCTCACTGCGCTGGGAGCCCTCACTGAGCCAGGCCAGGGACAGCAGGCACAGCGCCAGCATCCTAGGCACCTGAGACAGACCTGCAGCCACTCAGCTCTGCTGGTTGCACCACCAAGATCCCATTCCACGGAGCCCGAGCATCATCCCTGTATGAGTTATTCTTCCTCCACCACTCACCATCCACCCCACTCAGTAATGCACAACCCTTCGATTCTCCAGCCCCGAGACCTCAGGCATTTCTGTGCGGCTCCAACATGCCTTAGTTTCCCCATCCTGCCATCACTGTTTCTCTTGGGGACTGTGGGGGGGGGTTGTCTGCACAGGGCTGCAGCCATGGAAAGGTGACAGGAGACTGGGAGAAGAGGCTCAATTAACCTGGACTGCGGAGGACTGTGGCTGCCAGCTCTGCTGGCAAGGCTGCAGAGCTTTGGAGCTGGCTCTGACCCGGCTTTAGACTGGGTGACAAGTGAGGTGGCACTCAGGACTGCTGCACTCACTGTGGGCTGGGCAGTCCCCTCCAGAAAAGTCCAGCTGCATGGCACCAGCTGTGTCAATCAAGTCCAGCAAGGGGCACTACCCCGTGTGGCCATGACAGAGCTGTTCCAAATTCTTTAGGAGCATCCCCCAAAAGACAAGCAGTGGGGAAAGGTGACCAGTCTCACTGTCAGCCTGTCCTCATGCCATTGGCCCTGTGTGGCCAGCTTGGAGAAGGGAAGATGCCCTATTCTTGGACCTTGGTAGATTGTCACCACCAGCCTGCTGCTGCCTCCTGGGGAAGGGAGAAGGCTCCAAGGATCTTACCCCAAGGTTTATCTGGGAAGCGTGGGGACAAGGCACAGAGCATCTGCCCATTCATATAGACATGGGCATAGGGTTGTCCTCTGATTTCCCAACCTCCATCTCTGTCCCCAGCCAGCATGGTGCAGCATTCCCTTGCCTGGTGCCCCTCCAGGGAACAGTCCCCATGCCATCAATGGGGCTCTGTATCCCCTCCAGCTCCCGTTCCCTGCAGCTTGGCCCACTCCCCAGGCACACCCCCACTCCATCCAGCTGCAGCCGGAATCCCTCCAAGCTGGAGGAAGCTTTTCCAGGAGGAAACAATGTTCCTGATTGGAAACAAAAGGCTCTTCCCCACGGATCCGGTTCTGGGTGCCATGGTGGGGGCTGCCCGGCCCAGAGCCAGGCTGTTTTGGGAAAAGGGACGGAGGCCCAGGCTCAGTGTACTGAATGCAAGAGGCCCTGTGGCTTCCAGCACAGCACAAGGATGTTTGAGGCAACAGGGTCCTGCTTTTATGCCTATGGCAGAGCTCAGCTCTCTCCTGTCCCAGCTCATGTCTTGGCATCTAGTGGCAAGGTCACTCCAGGTGCTGCAGTCACACTGGGACTCCTGCTCAGCATGGCTAAACCTGGTGGCAGGGAGCTGAAGTGGTCAGAAGGGACAGAGGGAAGATGGGAGCAAGTCAGGAGTGCCATGGATGCCCACACAGGGCACAACTGGGTAGCGCAGGAATGTAGTGCTGGCCTAACAGCTGCTCCCTGGCACTGCCATCCCCATGCAAGGCTGCTGCCAAAAGTAGCCTGAGGGTAGAATGGGATGGGGTGAGGGCAACGCCTGGGTACACAAACCTAGGAAGGTCACACCCCACAGACCTGTTAGCGCAGGTAGGGAGATGCTGCCCCAGGGCTCCTCACGTACATGGCTGTGGTCCCCAGCACACATCATGGGGACGTGGGAGTTGGCCACTTGCATGGCCGCCCCGTCCCCATGACATTGCTGCCGCCATGCTGCGTGTCCCCAGTGTCATGCATCACCACTGCAGCAACATCCCATCCCGGGCCACATCCCATCCCGGCCCAGCACTGCCACAACATCGTGCGACATTGCGCAGGAGCCCCACCACACCCCAAAGCCACCTCACAGCAGTGACAGCATGGTAACATCACAGCACTGCATGACATCATGCTTCATGTGTCCCAGTGACACCATATCCCCCTTCCCATCATTCCCAGGCCACCACAGCCAAACCTGCCAGGGTAGAGGACAGGTGAGAGGCATCCTGCACTCAGTCTCCTCTGTCCCAGAGGGGCTGTGGTATCCCAGGGATGCCAGAGCCCCAAGCAGCCCTGATTCTGCAGTGCCTGTGCTCTGGCCGAAGCCACAAGCCCTGGTCTCACTGCTGTGGCCTCAGCGCCGTGCACCTCACACCCCTCACACAGGACCTGGTCCCTGTGTGCATGCTGCCATGGATGCTCCCAATGGACTTCACGCCTGCAGTTCCCAAGCAGAGATGGTCCCTGTTCTCTCCCATGCTCAGCACCGGACCCAGCACGCTGGGGCTCAGCCAGCAGCAGCTCATGCAGTATGGAGACAAGCAGTCACCTTATCTCGCAGCTCAGCCCGAAGGGACATCGGGTCCTTGGGGGGGGCTCAGCCGTGGTACCGCGCAGCCAGCCCCTTCCTGCACAGGTGGAGGGGCAGAGGGACCCCTCCAGCCCCACAGTGACCAAGTGGGGACATTCCCAAAGAGAAGAGCTGCCCTTTCCCTCCCGTTGCCCATCACCACCCCAACGTCCCCGCGGGTGCTCCCCTACTGCCAGCCCCCACCCTAAAACCCCAGGCAGCACCCCTACCCCCCTATCCCATCCCCAACTCCGCCGCGCCCTCCCCTCCCCTCCCCACTTCCCAACTTCCCGCACCCACCCCCGACTCCCCGGCAAAGTTGGTGGCGGGGCGGAGGCGCGGGGCCCCCTCCCTACTCACGGGCGCGGGGGGCTGCCCGGTGCCCCCGCGGCGGCGGTGGCGGGGGGAGCGCATCCCGCAGCGCCCGCCTCGCCGCCCGCCTCCCGGTTCCGCGCCGCCCGACTCCCGACGACTCCGGCCGCCCGTGCGGGCTTTATGTAGCGCTGGGCGGCCGCGGCAGCGCCAATGAGCGGGGCGAGGGGTGCCGCTGCCAATGGAGAGCGGGGAGGTGGGGCTGTGCGGAGCTGATTTACTGCCCGAAATTGCAGTGGAAGCACGGCCGGGCAGCGCCGGGTGATACGGAGCCAAAATATGATGGGGGGACCCGCTGAGGCATGTGGCAGGAGAGTGGCTCGTAACCTTCACGGGGCGGTGGGTCGCTCTGTCCCATCGTGTCCCGCACCGTCCCTCACTGTCAGGCTGCCCCCAAAAGCTTTGGGACCATGGGGTCCCAGCAATGCTACCCGGGAGCTGGGCGATGGGGATCGAAATCCTGGCTGCAGCCCTGCAGTCACTCAGAGGCACTTTCCTCCTCGCTGTTTCCTCTCCCTCCCCCCAGTGATTTCCACCCAGAGCACAGCAGGATTTGCTCCCCACTGACTGCAACGATGCACAGAGCTGCCCCATCCCAACTGCTTTGCCCAATAGAGCAATGTAACTGTGGGTATGGACAGATGTCAGCCCCCAAAGCTGTGCCCAAGGGCTCAGCATCGTCCCCATGCCATCCCCAGCATGACCCTAGGTGCAGGGCACCTGCTTCACTGTTGGGGACCTGGGGACTGGTTGCACAAGGCATTGCCATTCCAAAACCTTGCAGCTATTGGATGCTGAGCTTGGCTTGCATGCAGCCTGCCTTCCTTCCCATAGTGTCTGCTGCAGGGCTGGACACAGAGCTCCCCGTGAGGCCGTGGTGGCACACGGACAGTGCTGGCAGGGCACAGTTAGGTCATCTCAGCAGAACACGTCTACAGGAACCCAGCATGGAGCCTGGGGCTGCAACCACCTCGTTGCACCGGGCGGCAGCAGGAGCCCGCGCCGTGATGGGCTGTGCTGAGTGGCTGATCTCCTGCCCTGCTGAAACCTTTATTTCTCATTCGAACGTGTCTGGCTTCAGCTCCTGCCTGTTTCTAGCAGTTCTCCTCTCCCTGCTGGATTGGAGAGCTCTCAGCCCCAGTGATTGTTTCCCACAGTGCTGCTGCCACGTGACCATCAAGTACCCCTGTACACTCCATTTCCGATGACCCCTTTTGCAGTGCGGCTGAGCACTGAGCACAGAATCTGCTATGGGCTCCTGCTCCCCATGTTGGGCTAGTGGTGCCCGGTCCCACAGGTGCTGGGAGTGAAGGGGGGACAAGGCAGCATCCAGGCTCTTCTGGGAGCTGCGGAGGGTGGGCACGGCCCTGTTGGGGTATGCACGTGGAGATGACGGAGGTGCGTGGAGACTGGCTGTGCGTTGCACGGCCCTGCGCTGGGGACCGATGGTGGCAGCGACGGGGACAATGGACAGGAAATTAGAGCGAGGCGGCAGTGAGACATGCTGCTGGGGGAAGGGAGTCGGAGGGCTGCAGGCAGCGCGGACATGCAGTCTGAGCGCTGCACCAGCGCCTACATCTCCAGGGCAGCACTGTCCCAGCTTTGCCCGGGGTGATTGCCTCCTGGAATCCCCTGCAGCCAGCAGCCCTGGCACCCTGCATCCCTCTGCCTGGCAGCTCACAATCATCCGGATGGGAACGAGCCCAGGAGCAGCTGGATCAGGGAAACCCAGCGTGTGCCTTCCAGCACATCGCAGCTGCTGCTGCACAGACTGTGTGCAGGTGACAGAGCAGTGCTGACTCCCAGCACTGTCCTCTGAGACTCTTTACAGGCGCTGTCGATGTTCTTTCTGGAGCACCACGAAGGCTGAGACACCTGCACACAGCCCAGTAGGTGCACAATGGGTGCACAGCACACACATGCTGCAAACGCACATCCACATGCATACATGAAGTACAGCCTGTGTGCAGCATCCCTGTCTGCACACCCTGCACACACACACACACAGACACACACCATATGTGAGCACCCAGCACGCTGCTCAAACATTCATGCAGCCTGTGCACACCCACCTATGCTCACACACAGCCTGCACGTTGCACGCTCAGGCATGCGTGCAGTGTGCATGCATATACCATGCATAGTGCTCTGCATACTGCTCCTCTCTGCAGTCACCTGCTCTGCCTGATCACAGCTAGCATGGCCTGGGAAGCAGCTGGGCAATACACCTTATTCCTTTTTGACACTAGAAGAGGGCACATGATGTGTGGGACACGTTGGCCGCAAAGCTGACCCTGGCCCCTGTCACCGTTTCCTTCTCTGGAGGGGCTGTGCTGGGACCTCCTTGCTCCGAGGGTCTAATTTCCACCCTAAATGTATTCATGGTTAATTTATCCCCAGTCATTCCTGTGCTAATGTTGTCTTTTAGCTGAAATAGCTCTTCTCCTCCCTGGCGTTTACCCTGCAGATGTATTTATAGTGAGCGCTCCTTTCCCTCGCAGCCTGCGCTGCGCTGCGCTGCGCTGAGCTGCCGCCATCCTACTGGGTCCCCTGGGCTCTGCGTATCTTGAGCCACCTCTGCTCCTGTCGCCAGCATGGCCAAATCCTGGGGACCTCAGAAGGTCCATGGGTGAGTGCTCAATCCCTTCTTCCTGCCGCCAGCCTGGTAGACCCAGCGGTGTTAGCAAAGAGGCCAGGTCAATCTGAAGGTGCATTGTACACTGTTTTACAGTCCATCTTGTCATAGGATCACTGCGTGCCCATGGCAGCAGCAGGGCATGAAGGAAGTACCCAGCACCTGACCCCGGGCTCTGTACAGCCCAGTCCCTATATGGCCCCAAGCTGCTACTGTCACCATGCACAGTGCCCCCAGGTCCCTGCTTGGACTCTTCCTGTCGCCGGGACATCATTAGAAATGTTAATTATTAATTATCACTAAAAGCCCTTTTTGCTGCATTGCTGTTCTCTGCTGATCTCTCTGCCCCGTGCTGCCTGTAACCGGATCCACCCGCTGTTGTCTCCTGCCTCATGGTGCCCATCCCTGCTGTCCATCACTACCTGTGGGGCAGAGCCGTGACAGCAGAAAGCCCCGTTCCATGCGAGACACTGCCCTATGGGTGAGCTGGGCTTGTCTCTCCTTGGGATTTCCTGTAGGATCAGAATCCCCATGGGCAAGATGTAGGATCACTCTGTGTCATGTCCCTCTGAACCTGCTGGTTGCTGTGATAGAGCCAGAGCACATCAGCTCCTCTTGGTCAGGCAGTGGGGGTCCCCGGAGAGGGACACAGGAATCCCCCAGGATATCTCTCTCCATATCCCAAAGGATCCCTGAAGTCAGGCTGCCCAGGAAGTGAGCTCCCCAAATCCTGGGGCTGTCACCCCCTGCCCCACACTGTTGCATGGCCTGCAGCATCAGGCATGGTCCTGCTGCACATGCTGGAAAGCAAAACAGCATGGAGAGGGAGACAGCAGCAATTGCTCAGGGAGGTGCTTGGGGGCAGGCTCCCAGGGGAGAGCGGGGAGGAGCACCCAGGCTGTATTGATTCCTGCAGCACAGTGCTGCTTTTACTGCCTGCTTATTTCCCATGTGCAGGAAAACAGAGGCAGCAGGAGAATCCTGCTGCCCACAGCCAGCTCCGCTCCCAGGGGCACTGCTGGGCCCCATCATCTCCCTGCCCACAGCCGCCGGCAGCACCGGCGCCTGCCTGCACCGCGGGCTGCTTCCTCACATTATACAGCGCTGTCACGAGCTGCTGAGTCCCCAGGTGTTTGGTGCAGCAGCACAAAGCAAATCCAACCTACCCCAGCCCTGAGCTCTCCGCAGTGCCCTCCCCATGGCTGAGCTGCCAGGCTGGGCATGGGAAATGCTGGGTGTGATGTTCTCCTCACCCTGTGTCCTCAGGGCAACTCCTGGGGCTTTTCTCCAGCAAAGCCCTCTGCAAACGCTTACTCTGCAGAGAGAAAGCAGATTCGTGCTCATAGGGGCTGGGATCCCCAGTAACACAAAGGGGGTCACAGGGTGCACTGCTGGATCTCAGAGCATTGTAGGGTGTTTGGCTCCAGTGAGAGAAAGTGCAGAGCCCCATGCTGCCTCTCCTGCCCAGGGCTCAGCCTGGCCAGAGCTGGACACACAGCTCGCCTCTGATCAGAGCCAGACCTGGAGCCGCCAGCCACTCTTTTTTCTCTGCACTGCTCCTTTCAGCCCGTGGCTCCCTGCGTCCCCCGCTGACGCAGCTGCAGATGGAGAGACAAGGGGAAGCAGGCAGCATCCCGGCCTGCTGTGCCATCCCCAGGGAGGTGCAGGCACAGCAGCTTTGAATCGACGCTCTCTGGAAACAAGAGCAGCCCTGCTATCAGCACGGAACATGTGCTGTGCAGGGGAGCTGAGGATGCCCAGTGTGAGGTGGGGTTCTGCGACCACAGTGCAGCTCCCACCAGTGCTCTCTGTACCTACAAATTTCGCAGAAGCCCTGAGGCCACGCTAACCCAGGAAGAGGAGGCCAAGGCTCTTCTGGGACAGCTGGGCTCAAGTCTTTGAGCAGCCCCCATTGCTCTTATCCTTCTCCTTTCCTGGGACCATGTTGGTGGTGCAGGGGGTCGCTGTCCCTGCACGTGGCACTCTAGAGAGGACACCACAGTGTCCCTTGCAGGAAACACAGATTCAGCTGCCAGAAGGAGAGATGTAAGAATGTCTCCAGTGGGGGAAATAAGGGGTTCTTCCTGCAGCCCACACCTCCCAGTACTCAGACTGC